AGGAAGACCCCAAACCCTTCCCACCCAGGGGCTGCTGCTTAACACCTTAGGAGCAGGCACAGGGCTTCCACATACTGGGTAAGGGAAATGACCTACCATGGGGCAACTGCTGTCCTGCACACAGCCCAAGCAAAGGCCATGCTGGTGCAGTTCAGGGCTGAACTTCTGAACCCTCACTGAACTTTTTCAATCTGGCTTTTGTTTGGATTAAGAGCAGAAGGCAGAGTGCTATAGACTGCAGGAAGCACTCGATCAAAGTGCTGGCAAGACTGCCTCCTCCCTGCCACATCCCTTCCCATGACACCTCTTGGCTTTGCTCACCTGCAGCCACTCTGGCTCTTTACTTTTCAATTCACATGCTAAGCATAGCACAGTTTCCATGCAGATGAGAGAAACCACATGCTGCTGGAGTGAAACGCTGATAGCAGTGAAACCAGATTCTGCTCCGAGGGACGAGTGGTGTCCACAGAGCCTAAGAACTTTGTAATTCATAAGGAGCTCTTATGGAACCTCCCTCTTTCCTAACATATGGTAACTTCTTCAGTTCGTGTGATGGAAGAGGGATTGACTTGGATATTACCTATGCCAAGTTCTGTTCTTCCAGTAGGAAGCTGAAAATGGAGTGGCAGCTGAGGGCTCAAAATCAAGCTCCATAACCTACAGCACCTCTTGCTGACAGTGCCCAGAATCAGGGAACCTGTGACATCCCTTAGTCCTTTTGGGAAGGGAAGAACTTCACAGTATTGTACTTTAACAAATAGTTTGAACCAGCCAGAAGAAAATGAGTGCTCTATTCACATTCAGAGAGCATCTAGAAGCTGGCCTGAACTCAGTGACTGTTCTTGATAGAGCATTAGTCCACACTATCCATATGACAACTTCCATGCTGGAAAGAAAACTGCTCAGCTATTTAGGTTTCCATTCCTGAAAGCATGGGCAGAAGTCTGACCTGCAGCTGTGCTTGATCATTTCCCAAATGGTTCTGATGTATGGTGGCCTAACACACATGATGCTGGAATATGAGAACACCCTGTTACTCTGCATGGTGCTGGTAAAATCCCTGAGAACTTCCTCAGCCTCATGAGCTAATGAAAATATTTTGTTTCTGCAGCACTTAACTTGAACATGCCAGGCTGAAGCACAAATGGACATAGAAATAACAGCAGGAAGTTATGAAAGGGAGAATTGAGGCTGAGGATGAGGGAACAATCCTTGGCTGCAAGACAAATTTGCTTGTGGAATCATTCCTTGGAAACAGTGAAAGCCCCAGATTGGGCCAAACATAAGAAAATCAACTGTAGGGAGTAATTTTGTGCTGATGGGGGTAAAACTTCATTGGTTTTCCATATCCAAGTTCTGCAGACAAATGATACAAAAGAGAGGGGGAGGACAGTAGACTCAAGAGTTTATGGATGGTGTGGGTAATCCAACAGCCACATTTCTGCAAAAGTGCCCATAACTAGTAAAGTAGTTAAATTATAACATTAATGAGCTATCGTTGTCAAAAAGAAATCAGGCAGAAAGCAAAAATGCAAAGAAATTTTGTCCCAGAATGTCCCAGAAATGAGATACAGCATGGCATGTCTCACCTGGACAGTGTCTCAACTGCAAGGGTTAGAGCAGAAAGCTGCTGAATTCTAAACACAAGGTGTTCTCAAACATCTCCTGTCCTCCCTAGGACCACACAGCTTGGCTCAAACAGCCATTTCACTTTCATGTTATACCTTCTTCAGAAGTTCCAATCTCCTCCTCTGTGTTACATTACGTTCTGGATGGGTGATCCCCTACTGTGCTAGACAGTTGGATGATGAAGAACAAGGCCTCTACTTCTCAAAGCATTCTGCTCTTCCTCTTGAATTCCAGTAGTAGAAACACGATGAGGAGATGGAGTGTATAGGAGGAGACCAGTTGACAAGTGACCCAGTGCAAAGCAGGGAAATTCTTATCTCTCTGCAAAGTCATCTGGGTCATGTAAAAGGGAATGTCCCAAGTTCATAAACATCATTGAGTAAGCACCAGAAGAGCACCTTCTGGAGGGGCAGAGAAGGCAATGGGATTCCGGGTGATAAATCTACACTTCACATCACTAGATCAATGGCAGGGCAACACCCCTGACCCTTGTTAAAAAAAGACAGTTTGCTGATAGTTCCATGTGGTGGCATGTTACATTTTAATCTCAGGTGGGTGATAGCCAGTGCATGCCAGACACTTTGTATTTGAAGCAGGCTCACTTTAAGCAGGGTGATTGTGACAAGGGCCAAACATCCTGGTCAAGAATGCCACAAGTGCAGCCACTGAAAAGCTAAGTAGCAGCTTTTCTGGTGCTATCAAAAATAGACATTAACATAGCTCCTCAGCCCTTCTTTATGTACTTCCTTAGCACCTTTGCCCAGAAGCTACAGATCTCCTATGAAGCTGCCCTGAACATGGTCTCATGGGCAAAAAGCAAAGACAAAGCAGTTTTTCATCTGGCTGGTTTTGTCCCTCTTTTGGCAGCAGATGAAGCTGTTCTCAAAACTACTGATACAACCTTGGAAGAAACATGACCAAAGGGAGCATCAGCCAGAACTTTGCAAGACTTGAGAGAAATGAAACGGATTGCTCATCCAGATGAAGCAATCTGGCAGATTTTAGCCAGGCCGGGGTTGCTGCTCTGAGTCTACAGAACATCCAGAGAGTCTTACATGCAGTAAGTGAATGCTCAGATCTGTATTATGGTAGAGGTGCTGGCCTCTGACTCCCACTTCAAGTTACACTCCCCACAATGAATCTTCTTCAATCTCAGGTGATGTGAGTGGAATCAGTTCCTAAGGTTATCTTAGGCTTTCACCTTGGCCTGTCACTCTAGCAGCTGATGGTGTAGTCTAATGTCAAGTGATCTACCATCAGCAAAACATTCTTTAGCTCCATGTAACTTTTTCTGTTCCCACATGGCAGGAGTTCTCACAGAAGTATATGGAGTAGATAGTGACTTCTCAGAAGTCCCTCCTTTAAAAGTGAAAGATTTCTCAATTCAGAGTGAAGAGTGAAGACAACAAATTGCTTACAGGAGGGCAATGAGAGGAATTTCAGGGCAGAAGGGGTGAGCACACAAAAGTACAGACAAGACTGAAATAAATGCTTTCCTTTAGCAGGGCAAAGCTTATTGTCACAGTCTTGAGACAGACTATACACCTCTGGTGCTCTGTATATTCTTTTCACCTTCCACCTTCCTGTTTTAGAACAGCATAGCAGGAACAGTGTTTTCTGTATGCAAAGCTTTCTTCTGTGTGCAATGCAAACTCCTGATGGCAAGAGAGTAAGTACAGAGCCAAACAAGTGACACCTCTTTCAGCTTTGCAAGCATCAGTGCACAGCAATGGCAAGGTGCTGTGCATGTATCCCTGGTTTCTTCACTGACCAGATTAAAGGTCCCTCAAGCAGAGAGTGGCAATTCAGTATCTCCAGAACTTATAGCATGGGCATTTCAGTGTGCTCCTGAAGGTGAGGTTATTTTGGAGGGGATGAGCTGCAGAACAGCATACTTCAATACCACCATCAGAGTAGACCCACTGGTGGAGCACAGCACAAGGGCTGGTTAAACTGATGTTACAGAATGTACATTACCTGCATCCCTCCCTTGGTAAAGCTTTAACAAGGGATCCAAGCATATTATGGGGCACCTCAGTTTCTCCCCATTGGCATTCCCAGGGTTGCAGTGAAAAAAGGCACTGTTACCTCTCATTTAAACAGAGAGGTGAACATGACTAGAACAGCCAATACAGTGATCTCAAGAGCTGAAGCTCAAGATTTGGAAAATACATCACTGAACTGTGCTGTGTAGTTCCTGCTGTGATAGACTCTCTGTACATTCCTTCACGGACTGACACTTAAAAACCCAGAAGACACAAACGTAGTGAAGGGACAGGCTAAGTTAGGCTGATATTACACCAGACAGGGTTAGAGGTTAACCTGGTTCATGTTCTCATGGCACTGAACTAGGCAGCTTGTTCCACTCAAAAGTCCCAGCCCAATTCTGCCCCTGTTCTCCGCTGCCAACTCCCTTTCATTTGGCAGCACTGTTTGAGTGTTTCCCAAATTGCTACAGAGTTACATAAAGCTTTAGAAACAAGTACAGAGGCAAAGACAAGGTACGCCTGGACGAGTCATTTATGTCGGAAACTTTTGAGAAAAACACTGGCTTCATTCCTGAAGTAAGTACTTGCTGAATATGTATCTTCAGCACGTGGTTACTGTTCAGTTCTCCCTGCAGGCTAGAGGAAGCAATTTATATCTCCCTCCTTATCTGGTGCCAGCTTCTGTTCCACAGAGCAACACAGGAAGCACAGGTAGGGGTACACACAGTCAAAACTCTCACAGAATGGCAGTGGCCAAGATTTCGCAAGGTTCCCACACACAGCTTTCCAATTCCACCAGACTGAGAAGACAGTATCATGAAGGACCAGGAGAGCACTCCTGAAGTACCTCTGCGCTCTGTTCTGGCTCTGGGACTCATTTGTTTTGTTCCAGCCCCATGACCAAAACTTTTGATCCAATTTCTTGATCCTATTCTTTTGCCTCCACCCAGACTCCAAAGCCTGCCTATTTCAGTGCTGTTCCACCTCCTCAGCACTAGCTCTGCTCTCTTTTTTCTAAACTCTGCTTCTGCCCTGCTTGCTGGGTTCCCTTGCAAGGAGGAGATAAACAAGGGTGGTGTAGGGAGGGACTAGCAATACAATAAGGAGGGCTGGGGTACTAATCTCCAATTTAAATCTCTTTAATTTTAGAGGTGTAGCACCTAACTGCATAGGGAAGGTATCCAGAGGTATCCGTTCTTTGTTCTCACTAAAAGTCTGTGGAATAATTTACAACAGTCAGAGAATTAGATCTGGAGTCCTGGTGTGATTCCAGCAAAAGATAGGATTTACCATTTCCTGTCTCAACCTGCTATGTAGGGCTGCTATGTGAATGCTAACTAGATAATGTGCCCCACCCCACAGCTGCTAGATAGACAAAACTATTAAAGAATCCCAAAGACTTCTAAGACACAGGAAAGAAGTTTTCAGTTGAAGTATCTGATGGCTACAGGTCTGCATCAATGTAGAGTCCTCTAATTTAATCCTCATTACCAATACCCAATACCAATACCCAATACCAATACCCAATGTACAGCCTGTAAGTATCCAAGAGACACTTACAAAAGCTTGACTCAAATTTCCACTGCAGAGTCAGACCTAAAATGCAGGAGTGTCTGGCTGCCCCCAGCCCTGCAGCCTAAGCTCTCCCAGCAACAGCCCCATGGCCTCTGGTAACCCCATGGCTTGCTAATGTGAGGTTCATAAACTGCTCTGACATCCCCATGGAAACAGAGTGTGGGGTCGTAAACAGGGGATTAGCACCTCCTTCGCCCAGCACAGGGCAGGAGGCGGCCGCAGGCTTCCCCTTTGCCCACCAAAGGCCAGGGGCCACTGAGGCCGGGGAGAGGGAAGAGACCCTGTTGCACAGGAAGGGCAAGCAAGGATGAGGCAGAATGGAACAGGCTCCTGGTAGCTGCTCAGCCCCCCACTCACTACTGGTACTTCTCCCTGGGCACCCTCCTGCTGTTGGGGGCCCAGGCACTGAAAGACTGAGAGAGAAGGGACTGCTAAGCTTGGAGAGAATGTGGCTCAGGGAGGTCTTACCAATTTTTGTAAATACCTGAAGGGAGGGTGTAAAGAAGGCAGAACCAGGTTCTTACCAGTGGTGCCCAGTGACAGAAAAAGAGGCAATGGGCATGAACTTAAACACAATAAATTCTGTTTGAATGTAAGAAAACATAGTCCTGGGTAATCTTGTCTAGGTGAACCTGCTAGAGCAGAGTGCTTGGACTAGATGATCTCCAGAGGCCCCTTTCAACCTTAACTACTGTTATGCTGTGATTCCACCTCTGTGGCATCCTCCTATGACTGTTCTACTGGTAGTGATGAGGTGAGTGCAGCGTAGAAAGGGAGGGCAGACTGTAACCTGTGGCACTTTTAATCCTGCGTGGATAAACGGTTTGAATGAGATGTGGTTTGCCCTTAAAAGACTGACAAGAGAATACTGTGAAAAACCTCCTCTGAAATGCTACTCTTTGTAAGCCCTGTTGCCTGAGGCATGTTTTACACAGTAACAAGGAACAGCTTTCCTCTTTCAACCTATTTCTGATAAATAAATAAATAAATAAATAAATAAAGTGGAAAGGCTATTCACCTGTTGAGCTTGGGTTTCTTGGGAATATGCCCTTCAGGAAGTAGAGGCCTGTGATTTGGCAACAAACCTGAAACAGAAAAGGAAAGGCGTTAAGAATATTTTGCAGTGCCCCCTTGCCTCTACAGGATCCAGAAGTTACATTACATTTCACAAGCCAGGCAACCCATGTCCCCACTGGGGCAGCACAGCAAAAACTGAAGTACAGTAAAAGAACATCTTTAGTTACTGCTGACCCTGCACCCCAGCCAAAGAGAAGTTAGCAGGTTCTGCTGATATAGAGAGCAAATACACACCAAAGACACTTGGGCCCATCAAAGAGGTTTTTTGAGAGGACACAGGGCACTGGTGTCCAATCAGATTTTATCTCTCTGGTGAAAATCTGACAATTAAAATTCTCAGTCCATTTAACTTGTGGATACAACTACAGTATCAGATATGGAGAACAGCACAACACCCAACCCGTGTCAGCCTGGGTCCCACTCCCACAGTAAAGGTAAAAAGTCTTCACAGGGCAGACAACAGACAGATGAATGTTATTAACAGGGCAGGTCCAGCTTCTGCTAAATCAAGTAATTTCAGAAGCTGGTATTGAATCACTGGTTACTAGAGACTGAGCCACTTCTGTAAGATCTTTCTGTAAGAGTAGACTCATCTACAGGGTAGATGTCTGCTGCCAAGTCAGGAGCCAAGGCACAGATATGGAACAAGGTGTCTCTGTTCCATTGTCCTGTCCCAGCAGCTGGACTAAAACAAGTTTGCTGGGTGACTGGACAACGATATCTCACTGAACTATATTAAATAGGTGGGAGACCCCTCTCAAGAGGTCCTGTGGGTACCCCACAGTACAGGGCTGTCTCAGGAGGAGGCTAGGTACCTGCACGGTGAGCCATCTGCACACAGACAGCAATCTTCTTGTGCTCCTCCAAACAGAGGCCTGTGATCCTGCGTGGCAGCATCCCTCCATCAGAACGAATAAACTGGCTCAGCAGCAAGACATCCTGAAAGAGCAAGAGAAGGGCAAAACCATCAGTGCTACAGCTACTTTAACTGCTGTGATTGTAAGTTACAGTGCTGACCCTCGTGCTGTGTACAGAACTCACAGCAAAACAATGATTCCTTCCTACGCATTTTGGCTGCAGCTTGACAACAAGTGGCTTTTGCTTGCTGACAATTCTGTCTGCCAGCTTAGCTCGGTAAGGTCACTCAGATGGTCTGAGTCTTCCCCTGACTTCAGTAGTGTAAACACATGATGTCAGCTGTAATCCTTGCTACTTCATTGTCACTTGCTCCAAGATTCTAGCTAAGATGTGTCCTAGGTACTCAGGCACAGTTACACAAGACCTACAGATGGATAGTGTTTACACAACTTGAAATGCCATCACAGCTGCTATCCTAAAGGTCACAGATATGTTAGATCACCTCTGGCCTCGTCCTTGTTCCCTCAGAGCAGGGCTGTTCTCTGCTATATACTCCTCAAACTTTTATCCAGTTTCCCATGGTGGAACTTCCCTCATGTCTCTCTGGAGAGCAGAGAAATAGTCCAAGATCTCGCACGAAGAAGCCTTTTGTAAGAAAAGAACCTGTGTTGATGAGAAAGACCTAATAGGATAAATTTCTGCCTTCAGTCCTTTGACTTTGTGTATATAAAGTGGGGCTATTACAGCCATGCTGGATGGAAGGAGCTCTCAGAGCATGCCAAGGGTTTGCCTGTGATTCAAGAATCATTTAGATTACACTGCTGTTGACCTTTCCAGTTGAGCTCTAGAAATATAAAGCACTCTTAATGAAAACAAAATTAAAGGGATCTGATAGTATCACAGAGCTGGGACGACAAATTTTTAAACACAGCAGCAACAGCTGTTGCACAAGTTGCTTTTAACTGTACATGGTACAACAGCCCAGTATTTAGATACGTGCTCCCTATTTCCTCATGCAGCATCACTGCAAACATACCCCTCAGGCATGTCCCCTTGACATGCTAACCTCAGCATAAGGTGGCCCAAAAGGCCTCTGGAGACACTGTGCTTGTTTTTTCTCCATCTGTTGATAGACTTGTTGCTCGTTGAGAGTTTACTTCACTGATATTGTAAATATGTTCATAATTGAGGAAGCTGGACCATGCAGAGGCTGCCTGCAGGCTGGAAGAGTCCTGCCAGTAACCATCCTCATGGAATGAGAATTCAAACCAGGTAGCTCTGCATTTTACACCCCCCCTTGTCTAGAGCAACAGGCGAGAACAAAGAGTACTTGTTGCTTTTCACACTGGATGACCCTGACTCTGCCTGTTCACAGATTCGCAGACCTGCTCTTGCCCCCTCATCTTTTACAAGGAGTTCCCTGGAGCATTCTTAGATTCATTTACTGCCCTTGCAAAAGCAAACAATCACAAGAGCATATAAAATGAATATTCAGAAAACCCAGCTATCTAGGAATTATACATCCACTCCCACTGCACAAGACCAGTTCAGCTCTGAAGGAGGCTGCTGGAATTCAGTGTGGCTTTCTGGTAATGACTGATTCTGACCGGTGCTGTGTTGCAGTAAAAACGTAGAGGTGTTTTTTGTTTTTTTTTTCGGTTTTCGTGGCTTGTTTTCGTACTTCCCCTCTTTGCTGTCAATCCTACCCTCAATAATATAATCATAACACACAATTTCCCTCTTCCCTTATCTGGCTTCTTTTCTACCTCCTCTTGTCTACAATGAATGTGTTTAGACTCAATTTTAGATCCAGATCCTTCGAACACATGGCAGGTTAAGCAAATTCTCACTGATACAAAATGACTTCTCAACCACCATGCAGAGCAAGAAAAGCACAGTTGAGCAACTAGCAGCAAGCTCCTGAGAGGCCATCTATGGTCAAAAAGGAGGCAAAGTGTCCTCAGCCCAGCTAACACATGGCCTTGCCAATGAGAAAAGTAACCCAGGGACCAGCTGGTGCCAGCCGTGTTGGTGGAAACTGGATGGAGGCCAGCCAAGCAGTCCAAGGGCACTGACTTTTGGCTACTCCTGAAATGCACTGCATTGGATTCAGGAAACCAGAGCAAGACACCATCCCTTTTTTTTCCTCTTCTTTAGCCATCCAGTTGTCCAAATCACCAACAGCTCAATTTAGCACAAATGTATCACTTCCCTAAGTGAAAAAGGGCTGTCCAGCTCCAAGTGCCTAGAAAGATATAAACACTTTCTAGACTTTTCTACTAGCCTGCTGCATTACTCTGTGGGGAAGAGGAAAATGGGAGCTGATGGCAAATTAAGGCTGTTCCAGTCTTTGCAGCCGTGAAAGCCTAAGCAGGCCACAGGCTCTTGTGAAGGGTGTGTGTGGTCCAAGTTATTTCTCATATTACTACCACGCCTTGTGGAGTCATGGGGTTGTTATCAAGTGTTTCCATGCAAAGGGGGAAGGTGGGAATCAAAGGGAGACAGTCTGTCTTCTTCTCCCTGTGGAAAATAAATCAGGAAAATCCATTCTCTGTTATCATCTCTGACCAACAGTGTAACCAACTGACCAACACCCTTGTGTGGCAGTAATTTCTTAACTGAAATCATCTATGTCCCAGCTGTTGCAGCTCCAGATTACACTCATGCCATTTGGCTTAAAATGCTGCACACTTGACAGATGGTTTGTCCATTTCTGAAGATCCCCACAGTTAACAGGCCAGGTGCCTCTCCCAGAGTACTCACACAGATGCATCTCACCACAGGGAGAAAGCAGACAGGTACAGCCAACTTTATGGGGCAGCTGTGGAGGGAAGTGAAAAAGTATGTGGAGCGGTCAAAGATAAAAAAAAATGTCTGGCAAGTTCTCATGGTGCCGTCATGTTCCATGAAATTCACATTTTGTGCTAGTGGACAGCCAAGCCTGTAACCACGGATTTGCTTTAATCACTGGACAGCTCCCACGAGGCTGGACCCAGATTCCCACCCCTGTAATCTGCAGCATTTGATGAAAACAACTTGGATTGAATTAATCTAGGGCTAATAGGCAAAGCTTGCAGTTTGGTTTCTCCTAATTGCTGCCAAAGCAAGATGACATATTTACTGCCTACTCAGACTAATGATGTTTGAAGTGGATAAGGGGGAAAACAAAAAACAAGTTTAGCCTTCACCTCTAAAAGGGCTGGATAAACTTGCTAAACAAAACACTTTCTACAGCACATTCTTGTGAATGGATGGCACCCAAATTGCAGAGACATCTATGCGTTTTATTATCTGCAGACACTTCGAAAAGGAGGATCCTTGACTGCTTACATGCAATTAATTAAAACCTTCATTTACCGCAAGAAGAGTTCTGTCTGTGTAGCCAAATTACTACTAGACTTATCAGGCAAGTTTGCCAGTCATTATTTTCTGCTATACAAGCGTCTAATTTTTCTCTTCTCCCTTACTCCTGGGAGCTCTACACCATTCTCCAGGCACTTTGTAACAGGACTGGAGGTTTCAATATAGTTGCACCCTGACAATGACCATGATAATTTTTTTACCTTTAATGAATACGAGAAAAAAAAAACCAGCAACTGAGGTCTCAGTTTCAATGGACAGACTCATGCAGATCACAAACTGTGGGAATTTATACCTCAGGCTCTGTTATCCTGAGCCTTGGTAGAGACTGACGACTGAACTGGCAAAGACAACTGCAGCTCTCCACACCACTGCTGAGGCAGGTTGGAATCATGACCTGCTAGTGTGCACAATGCCTGTTCAGTTGATTAATAACTTTGGAGACATTGGTCCCCCAGTTCTCTGACAGCCAAAGTAACTCATTATGCCACTACTTTAGACTGTGCTAGTTGCACATGACAAAAAGAAAGTCCTATGAGGTCATATTACTCAGCTCCCCCAGGGGCTAATTCAACACTTCCCTTTTCACAGTGCCTTATTCAGTCCAATTACAAGAGTCCCAAGCAAAAAAGCTCACACTTTCCCTTCTGTGCAACTGACTGATCTCAGTTTATCAATCTCAAAGGAACCACTGTGATTCATCTACTCTGATCTCTTAACAAGTACAGATTATGGGTTATGCTGTATGAACTAGGCTATATCTTCAACAAAAGTAGCTATTCTCAATTTACAGACTTTTAGGACAATTAACCACCAGTGAGTAAATTGTGCCACTGTATAATTACCCACACAGTTAAATGCCTGCAGTTAAGCATTTCAAGATTCTCCTGCTCATCACTGCTGCAGCGAAGAAAAATAGCAGAGAGCACTTTTGTGCAGAAAAGGGAGATGTTAGTCACTTTAACTTTTAAATGACTGAAAATCTATGGCTGGTACAAAGCATTTAAACATAGAAGGGACTTATGCAAGTAGAAGAGGTGGTCTACTCCAGAACTGAAATTTTTCCTAGTTCTCATCAGCCCTACAGAGGAATGCTTCTAAATAGTGAGGTAAGAAACTTCTACAGTTCTGAAATACTAGTTCACACTGCCTACTTTAGCTTTTTGTCCAGGTTCTCCTCTGCTCTACAGCAGGAGTACTGGATGCATATGCATTCAAAAACAACAAGACAGACAGGATGGACATGTTCCTAGTTTGTCTCTCAGGACCACAACTTCCTAGGAACAATCTCAGCAAGGATTCTCAAGGCTCTGGCTGCAGGATCTATCCTCACATTTGGTTTTCTCTTGCCTCTGTACTGAAAGTAGAAGTCAGGATCTAAGAATCAAACTGAAGTGTGAAATAAAACTCAGAGCCCTAGTTCACTCTACAAACACATCTAATACTCATAATTTACATTGTCTGTTGGAACCAACAGCCTCCTCCAACTCCTGGAACTCAGGCTGTACAGCACGAAATTGTCTGAAACTGCTTTGGTCTCAATGGCACTGTTATATGTACGTGCAACAGAGTCTTCTACCACAGACGGCAGTATAAAGTGAATATATATATATATTTTCAAGAATTAATCCACTCCTGTAGCTCATACAATCCCTGAGCATCAGTTTATAATTTCCCAGGAGTTGCTAATGGGTGACTCATGGAATGCTTTCTCAAATCTGTAGAACCACCCAGTTTAATGATGCTGTTGACTCCTTGCATTTAAAAGTCACATGAAATTCTATTAACCTTAAAAAAGTGTTTGGTTTGTTTTGATCACATCACAAATCAGTGACCATGAAGAAAGGAGTGGCCTGAGTCAGACTCACTGACAACATTCAGATTCCACACAACTTACTTTCTGCAACACAGGCTTTGAAAGATACTAAAGTAGTATTTCATTTACATCTTACATGTGTTGTTTCACTTGCCTGGAGTAATTGCACATTCTTTGTCTGGCACTATTCTGTACCTGTGTTCTTCATAATTCATGAGTCATAATTAGTCCTACCTAACAAGTGATTTGTTTTTACTCCTAGTTGATATCATTTTCCTTGTAACTTGCAATGTTTATTGAGATAATTACCATGTGGTAAATCAATTTTCTTTCCTCTCTCAACTACTTAGTATTTCAGTTGCTATTTTAAAACTATTTGGTGATTACTTAGGATTTTTTTCACCCTTTAAAAAAATCCTGCAAGTGAACTAACATATTTGTTAGCTAATTCTCTTAAGATTTTGGGGTTATATGCAATCCAGGTCTGCTGGTCTGTACTTGATTCAGTGCTTAAGTTACTTCTGTACCTTTTTTTCACATTTGCAAGATTGTCATTATTACCTAGATATTAAAACATATTTTTTCTTTTGTATATGTGAGCTAAGACTGTATGTGACCAGCTTACTCATTCTGCAGCCAATGTGGCTTTCAGTCCTCTTCTCATTAATAGACTTTCTTTATCACACAGATTTATTTTCATCCAGATGCATTTGGATCTCTCTAACCCCAATCCTATTGATACTAACTTACTCTGAGTTTTCTGTTGCCTTATCTTACTAACAGCATGTTCCTGTCTGTTTTTCTTCTTTTCTAATTCCACTATTGGGTTTGCAGTCCTTTTGTAAACTCTGTGTTTGAATGACCTCTTGTAAAGTTACCTTCTGCATCTTCTGCCTCATGCTTCTTATTCTAAAATATTCTTGAGTGTTGTGCTTTTGTTTTAAAGCATTACAGGATTTCCCTTCCATCTTCTACGTTTACTGTTAGTAATCCTCTCCTTAGTTAACAAACTTCTCATTAGCATTTTCTGCAAAAAGCTTGCATCAAACCTGTTTTTTTTCTGTTTCAAGGGATCTAAACACAGATGCTTAGATCAAGAGTTTTAAAAGTAATATAAAACAGTTATCACCTAAGTGGACAATGACCCAATGGGAAATTGTAGTGCTTGAAGACATATAATTGAGGTACTCAAGTCTTGTGACCTCCCTGGAGTTAGAACAAGCCTGAATCAGTTAACTAAATGTTGCATTCTAGTTTGGTTCTCCTGGAGGTGCAATGCTGAAAGGCGGCTGAGCACAAAAGAGATACATGGCTTTCTCAGATCAGATGGCCATGTGTATAATTCCAAACCTCCTATTTGATAAAGAGTTTTTTCCCAGGAACATTATCAGCCAAGGCAAACAATTACTCTTGTAGCTCTTGTTAAGACACCCAAGAGAAGCAGGGCTGGAGTTAACTATCCTTACTACACCCAGCAAAAGACAAGAGGGGCAGATTGTGCAGTATGTAGATCTTAGAGCAACATTTATCTAGCTATGAGGACAGGGGAACTCTCCTTCATTAAACTTACCACATAATCGTACTTATGCTTTAGGTTCCAGCGACAGATGGGACACTGGCCAGAGGGGTTTGGAGGTGTTGGTATTTCAGGATCCTCGTGAATTCTCCCTTCAATCTAGGAAACAATTCAAAGGATATAATGTACAGGCATAGGTCTGCACCTGTGACTTGAGGAACACTTTTCCTAAGCCCACAATGTGTTGACCTGTATTATGCAGATATAAGGGCAACAGTGTCTGCATTATTCAACTACAGATGTACCAATCACTTTGGGTATACACAGACTATGGGGAAAAGAGAAAAACCAAGGGGCATAGAGAACCATTTAATAAATTATTGTATATGTTTTACTAAATATAAACCAGTTTGCAGTCAGTGTGAAATTGTCATAGTTGCCTGAATTCAGTTTAATGCAGTACTCCTTTGAATCACCACGCTTTCAAATTCCAGTGGCCCTTTAGCCATAAGCTTTAAAATACATTTTTTCCCTAGGAATTAGAAAATGTCACAGAACAGCAGGTGCATGTTGTGGACCAAAACATGCAAGGACTTGCTAGATTATAAATGACCACCAGGGAAAATTCTGAGCAAAAGTTAAATTTAAGAAAGGACTGTTAGGACAGGTGGGTTTGTGTGGGGTTTTCTTATTAATTAATTAATTAATTAATTATTCTTTTAAACACACCAATAGTTTACCCAGCTTAACTCCTGGAACGATTCCTTTAGGAGATACTTTGATAATCTTTTCTGTATTCCTACAAACTGGTGACATCTAATGCTCAGGTTTTCTCAAAAGGAACAGGCAGCAAGGTGTAGAGGGTATGTGTAGGAAGAATTACAGAAATTAGTTTTCTAAGTGTAGATATGTTAGGAATATTAAGTTGACTTATATGCATGCTTGTCTTTCGTTTTGAGGACTTAGAAGCAAGAGCTATCTCAGCAGCTAAACAGATAGAAAAGACAACACTAATCCATTTTTTTTCTCCAAAATATTTTGGAAGTTCCCTCTGGTCAAATTAAGATTAAAACCAGATTTTGAACACCAACTGACAGCCTCAAACAGTGCAAACATCAGAGAGTTTAAAAAGAAACCCTGGATGGAAGGCAGTGTTGCTCTTAAGAAAAAACTGATTGATTTAGACCTGTCAGGTTCTGTGCCTGAAAACCTGAGAGGAGAAAAGCACGGCATTTTCTGTAAGTGTGCATGTAACACTGGCATCCTGCTGAATTCTCAGAACCATTTTTTACCATAGATTTGGGTCTTTCTGGTCTAGTGATGACGAAACAGAAACAAGTAAGTTATTTGTAGCTCAAGCACCATGGTGCCTCAAAGAGAGAGAATACTGTCAATGTTTAAGTAAGAGTCTTCTCCCCACAAGTAGAATAGCCAGTTCTACAAAACCAAAAAAGCAACTATGGATACAAAATACAGGCAAGTATCTAATTTTCTATTAATTGGTAAACTTATTTTTGAGGAAGCCAGTGTATCTGGTTTTGATTCTTGCCAGCTGGGCTTGTGACAGTACTTTGTAATTCCATCTTGGGAATGAGTAAAGATTCAGAATGCTGTGTCATTATCAATTTTTCTGGAGATAAATTTAAGAGTACAACTTTGGGCAATTATTCCCCAACTACTGAGGACTTTCATATTATTAACCCAACCAGTTTTTATTCTTCTGTTAGAGAACTAAGAGGGAACACAGGGCTCTACATTCTCTCTCTGCTGATGAAATCCAGATTTCTCTGGGATTCATTCATCTAGTTCACATCAAACACTTCCTTCAATACTGATAAAAGCAAGGACACTGAAAGATGAGCATAGAAAAGTGGATTCAGAAAACACCGTTGCACAGTTGGTATGATAAATAGAGTGACCAAAGGATATGCTAAGAAATGCATCAGTCCGTTAGTCAGTCAATCTACACCATTTGTTACAAGATTTTTCTCATCTATGGGCACTGATGAATCCTAGATTGATGCTAGAATATTATACAGTAGAAATATCCAAATCTCCCTCATGCTTCTACAATGGGCCAGGAATAATACTTTTTTTAAAGGGCTCTGCTACTGCAGTGCACACCTTTTTTACTTCAAGCCTCAGATAATGTATTGGGACTTGATTATAGTTTACACCTCCTTTGTACTGACCGAGTGCAAAGTACAACAATCAACTGTGTGTGCTGTGTTGGTGTGCACACTCCTCCCACCTTCTTTTGGTTAAAACAACTTCAGAGTGTGCTTGCAAGCTACTGTCTTCAGGTCTCTGGGCAAAGATTAGTAGTCTGGGACTTGAAGAGAAGAAAAAGAGACTTTCTATTACGTCTTATACTTATTTTTGTTGTCAGTGGTAGTGACCTTGCTAACTCCCATATTCTATTTGATATTACATATCTAAGTAACCTGCTCCACTCAGGTTTCAAACATGACAATGTCCACTAATTGAAATATGACAAGGAAACTGACTTTCAAAGGCATGAACAACCAGGTTTTGTCAGTTTAATTAACAAGCAAAATAACTGTTCTCTCCTCATTTATTCATATATAGGTCAGCATTTAGTGTACTTTCTTCTAGCTATTTCCAAGTAATTCCTGCTCCACTCCCTCCATTGTATTTACACATTTCAAAATTTCTGGGCCAGCTGTCTCCAGCCAAGGCATACACTGCTACTGGCGTATGCAATGTGAGCAGAATAATGCAATCTCCTATCCCCTCCCAGCAATTTCAGTCCTTCTTCTGAAAAATGACCACTTTCTTGATAAAGTGCAACAGCTCAGATGGTGTCAATTACGTAAAAATCGAATTCTACTGCTTTGGTCTTTTCCTTCCTGTCTTAAACTGTAGCTGAGCAAAGACTCTTCTTTATCAGTTACTTCAGAACTTCTGTTTTATTTTCAGGATCAGTTTTCCTTTGGTATTTAGGGTCTTCCCTGGATGGCAGCCCCGTCACCAGCAGTTTCTTCTCACCAAAAGCGCTACGAGCCGAAGGCTGAGCATCACCTGCCGTCGCTGTGGCACACGCAGTGACACCAAGCACGGGAGGGCTCGGGGGCAGGCGCAGGGCACGGCACACACCTGCCGGCCCAGGTGAGGTGACAAAGCCACCGGGCAAACCTCCTGTGTGGCTGCCCAGGCTCCAGACGCTGTCAGGTGTCACTGCTCCAGGACACGGACCTGCCTGCAGCGCTGCCCTGGTGCTCTGGGCCCAGCACTCCTGCCTGTCGCACTCCTGCCTGTCCCACACCTGCCTGTCGCACTCCTGCCTGTCCCACACCTGCCTGTCCCACTCCTGCCTGTCCCACTCCTGCCTGTCCCTCACCTGCCTGTCCCACACCTGCCTGTCGCACTCCTGCCTGTCGCACTCCTGCCTGTCCCACACCTGCCTGTCGCACTCCTGCCTGTCCCACACCTGCCTGTCCCACTCCTGCCTGTCCCACTCCTGCCTGTCCCTCACCTGCCTGTCCCACACCTGCCTGTCGCACTCCTGCCTGTCGCACTCCTGCCTGTCCCACACCTGCCTGTCGCACTCCTGCCTGTCCCACACCTGCCTGTCCCACTCCTGCCTGTCCCACTCCTGCCTGTCCCTCACCTGCCTGTCCCACACCTGCCTGTCGCACTCCTGCCTGTCGCACTCCTGCCTGTCCCACACCTGCCTGTCGCACTCCTGCCTGTCCCACACCTGCCTGTCCCACTCCTGCCTGTCCCACTCCTGCCTGTCCCTCACCTGCCTGTCCCACACCTGCCTGTCGCACTCCTGCCTGTCGCACTCCTGCCTGTCCCACACCTGCCTGTCGCACTCCTGCCTGTCCCACACCTGCCTGTCCCACTCCTGCCTGTCCCACTCCTGCCTGTCCCTCACCTGCCTGTCCCACACCTGCCTGTCGCACTCCTGCCTGTCGCACTCCTGCCTGTCCCACACCTGCCTGTCGCACTCCTGCCTGTCCCACACCTGCCTGTCCCACTCCTGCCTGTCCCACTCCTGCCTGTCCCTCACCTGCCTGTCCCACACCTGCCTGTCGCACTCCTGCCTGTCCCACTCCTGCCTGTCCCACACCTGCCTGTCCCACTCCTGCCTGTCCCACACCTGCCTGTCCCACTCCTGCCTGTCCCACACCTGCCTGTCCCACACCTGCCTGTCCCACTCCTGCCTGTCCCACACCTGCCTGTCCCACACCTGCCTGTCCCACACCTGCCTGTCCCACACCTGCCTGTCCCACACCTGCCTGTCCCACTCCTGCCTGTCCCACACCTGCCTGTCCCACACCTGCCTGTCCCACTCCTGCCTGTCCCACACCTGCCTGTCCCACACCTGCCTGTCCCACTCCTGCCTGTCCCACACCTGCCTGTCCCACACCTGCCTGTCCCACTCCTGCCTGTCCCACACCTGCCTGTCCCACACCTGCCTGTCCCACACCTGCCTGTCCCACACCTGCCTGTCCCACACCTGCCTGTCCCACACCTGCCTGTCCCACACCTGCCTGTCCCACACCTGCCTGTCCCACACCTGCCTGTCCCACACCTGCCTGTCCCACACCTGCCTGTCCCACACCTGCCTGTCCCACACCTGCCTGTCCCACACCTGCCTGTCCCACACCTGCCTGTCCCACACCTGCCTGTCCCACACCTGCCTGTCCCACACCTGCCTGTCCCACACCTGCCTGTCCCACACCTGCCTGTCCCACACCTGCCTGTCCCACTCCTGCCTGTCGCACTCCTGCCTGTCCCACACCTGCCTGTCCCACACCTGCCTGTCCCACTCCTGCCTGTCCCACACCTGCCAGGGGTGCTGTAGTCAGTGCGTGTTACCGCCCTGACTTGTGTCGTTTGGCAGCTAAAGGTTTGAAGCAGTGTTTTGCCAGGTTGTAAATTGACACTTGTAAAATAGTTGGTCCGATTTAGATGCTTTCTGTTTTGCCCTCATGTCAGTTACCTTTGGCAGGCTGTGGGCAGCTCTTCAGCTGTTGAGAGATTCCCCTTACCCTGTTATCTTTTTTGGCATGCTTCATGTCTCTTAGATTCTTCCACCCGCTGGTGGTGGGAGGTAGCCTGGGAGTGCCAGTTGGGGGTTTGTGTCAGATGTCTGGGACTTCAGGTACCAACAAACCATTCGTTTTAGATGGCAGTAAGGCTGAGTTGGGCTGTGCTTAATAGCAAAGCTTGTTCATGGAGTTCATGGTTTTGCTAAGTGCTTGTTTGCTTTCTCTTTGTAATTTCAGCTCTAAAAAAAATAATCCAGGAAGCATAAATAACGGAGTGAGATAAATCCCTAGGGATTCATGTGCATTGGTGGACGTTTACGCTGTTCTGTTCTATCAATGGTCAACAGTGCTCATGCAAGATGTTTTGGGTGTTTTTCTGAGTTTCTAACTAAAATGTGTAAAACATAAATTGTGACAAATGTAAAATATAATTTGATCTTCCTGTACCAGGAGGACTTTGACCTCCTGCCTCTTGTGTGTTATACTTGCTTCTTATTACAATCCAGTTTGCAAATCTTTCCGTGGCAGATCTAAGCACTCAACTCTGGGACTTTCCAAGAAACGGGAATGAAGGCAGGGCTGTTGTCCTGACTCTTGTGCTCTATGCCAAGTAATGAAAACGAGGCCATCCCAGTTATTCAACGAACAAATTGAGTAAGAATGATAGCTGGAAGAGACCTCTTCCTCTCTCACTGCATGATGCTATATAATGAATAATGAAGCAGGATGATCTTTAGCTTGGCCAAACATGTAAACATTAAAGCCAAACAAAATATTTACTGCCATCCAGTCTAGGGATAACTTTCTTATGAGGAGAAGGAACATTGCTAGGCACAGTGGTGTAATTATGTTAAGTTTTTTTTCTTTCTTTATATATAGAGTTTTTTTCCTAGTAGAACGAGTTTGACTGCAACAACCTGACAGGAGAGTTCACTGAATGGCTTAAGTTAAATGCAGTTTCTTCATCTGGGTTCCTTACCTCTTGTAATGGGGAAAACTAAAGGGGTGACTGTTCATGGGGTAGAAACAGTTGGTAAGCACAGTGCTGTCTCACCATGGTAGAGATGTGTAGACAGAAGGTTAGGGGCTGCTCAAGAGTATCTCCATGCCATGGGGCTTTTGATGAAGACACTTAAGCAGCACTATGGCTTTAGGGTGAAAAGAAAGAGTCCAGCAACATGGTCATAGTTCAGATACAGTAAGTACTCCAACTTGCTCCTCCTTCAAACAGACTGTCTCTAGAGGAATTTAAGTGGCACATAACTTAATGCAAAGAAGGAGAACAGCTTGCAGTCTCTGAGCAAATTGTCTCTTGTTCTTATCCTCTTGTTTTCTTTGTCTTCTAAGTTGTTTCTACACCTGTTAACAATGCAGACCTTTGGAACCCCAAGGAGATAAAATAAACATGTGCCAATTTCAGTTGAAGTCCATCATTTCCTTCCAGCTGTGGAAATTTGACATACTTCTGATTTCTTAAAGATAATATTTGAATGTGTTTCTTTCATCAAGCCCTTGTATTCAGGGGAGAAGAAAAATAGCCCTGAATACTATGTCTGTGTACATGAGAGAAAATAAAGCAATTTTCTTTCTGTAAGTCAGTTTAGCCATGGTCTGTGATTTGTCAGCACTACAGAGGGTCATCCACTTTAGATGGAACTGGATGTTTCCAAGTAACGGAATAGGATGTCACCAGCCAGTGAAGAATGACTCCTTTTCCTTTTGAATTAAAATTAAACCTGTGCTCCCACATGTGGGTCTGGTCAGGAGCAAGGAAGTATTGTATTTTAGATGAGAAACTTATGTCCTAATTGCTTATGGCCTCTCGAGATTTTATGGGACTGTTCTCAAAGAAATGGTATTCCTTGTTTGAACTGCTTTGGGATTGGACACTGTAGATGTTCTGTAAGGCTCCATTTTTCTTTTCATGCTAACTTGAGTTCTGTTCTTGTCTGAAAAATGGAATATGTTTTGCTATTTTTCTTATTTCCTATAATGAATTACTGGTTTTCTGCTTCCAACTACAAAGAAATTTTCCTGGTCCTTTGGGCCTTTTCTGCTCCATTGGATGCTAGTGCATGATATGTATGTCTGCTCGAGAGCCTTGCCCGTGCAAATAGCTTATGAAGACTGAGGCTGTTCCAACCAAACATGATTAAAAGTCATAGAAATCGAGATGGAAAAAGCTATTAGGTCATGTAGTTCCCACACGCGCCCCCCAGACCAGTACAGGTTTGTTTCCAATGGTACATTTTTGGTGCTTTCCAGAAGGGGTCAGTGCAGGTCAGTGTTCACTTTGCATCCAACAGCCTTCCTCCCTTCCCCCTTCTTGAAAAAAATGGGAAACCTTCCGAATCTGATGATGAGTAGGTTGCAAAACATCCAGAATTTTTTATTCTAGCTCGCAATTCGATGTTCGGTGATAAAAAGCAGAGGAAATGTGTTCAAATCCAACAAATGATAATCCAGGATTTTAAAGGAGGAAATATATAGTGAGCTCTTCAAAATGGCTTGCTGGCTCTGTACATATATTAAATGCAGCAGATCCTGAGAACTCTTTTGGGAACGTTCAGTTGTAGAGAGAAAGACACAGATTCACAAGTTTATCCTGTTGGGCAGTCCATACTTAGACACAGCATATTACAAAATATTTTATAGTTGTGTTAAAAAAAAAAAAATCTGGATAATTGAGATCTATTTTTCTGATTGTAAAAAATAAAAAATGACAAAACCCCTTAGAGTTGGAATAAGGGAAGGGAATAACTAACAATCATGTTGCACCTTAGAGGATGGAGGAGAAGGATACTAGGCTAGAAATTAATAAGTGTGGGGGAAAGGGGTAAAGGTGGCTAGAGATGGTAAAAAGCAAAATGCTGCAAAGAGAGGAGGGAGATGGCACTCTGGTAGGAGAATGAGCGACTCACTTGAAAAGCACTTGTTTATATTTTTAAGATTTTCTTATTTTCCCAGTGGATATGGTTATTTTTCAAAGTAAAATAACCAAGAAATAATTTCATTACGTTTCCTTCCAAGATTTCAAGCTAAGTGTAAACAAGAAAAATCCAGTGGGAAAATTAATCCAACTTCCTTGTCCAAGAGCACTTCACTTCTGTTTCTCCCTCTGCCCCTCCCCTTATATATTTTCTGTGCTACTGTGCTTATACCTGGTATATGTGGCATTGCTGGCACCAGCTGAAATAACTCAGTGATGGCATTTGAAAATCACAAACACTTTTAGGATCACTGAAAATCAGTTCTGATACAAAAATGATAAGTTCTGAGATTTTCAGTGTTTAAAAAATATTAACGACATTTGACATTTTGGGAATGTTCCACATGGGCAAGTCAAAATGATGGAAAACAACTGAACTCTCACAGAGATTTGATCTCTGGCAATTAATATTTGGGCTGCATGGGAGAATCATAAGGAATCAAAATGCTGTAACAACACCATGGCAATCAGACCGGCAAACTTCCAAAGCTTTAATTTTTCCAGATGTTAAGTGCCTTTTTTTTTTTTTTTTTTTTTTTCCCCCAACCCAGGTGAAGGAGGGACTTCAGAAAAACAGGCAGTGAAAAACATTGAATTTGTAAGGGATGGTTGGCATAAAGGCCACCACATTGTTGAATGTTCAGATACCAGCGTGTTGGAAACACAAGCCGTGTTAATTTGTGTGAACTGAGTTCAGAGGGTTTATCTGAGCCATAAAAATAAAATATGTTTTATACGCTTAAAAACATGTTTATGTATTTTCATAATACAAATGTTGTGTCTTCAGATGTTTCCTGGCTGAATTGTAAGGAATGCTGAGGTTGCCTTCAACGACAGACATACTTTGTAAGTGGCGGGGATGAGCGGGAGGAGACCTGGCACCCTCCGGTTCATTCACATGAGGAGAGCCCTGGGGTGGTCCTTTCACTGGGGAGTCACGAAAGCCTGAAGCCAGCTGTTGGCCTCAGTGTTTTGTGCTGTTGGCTGCAGCACGTATTGCATTGCATCAACTCCATTTCTTTCTTGTTGCCACCAAACCCTGAGATTTACCAGAGAGACCTTGGGACAGGGTAGGCAAACCCAGTGGTGCCCAGTCCTTCCTTCTGGCAAACTGATCCTGTAGAAACTGCTTCACTGAGTGTTCAGTGTGGACATTTGCAAACTTTTCATCCTTGTCTCTGCAGGAGGATCCACAAGCTCAGCCTCCAGTCACTCTGTTCAAGATTTACATTAGGCTGTCTGAGCACAGAGCAGGCTCTGCAGCCTCTTCCTGCCAGGCATCAAACACCTAGACTAAGCAAAGTGGGATTTTTGTAACAAGTCATAGAGTCAAGACTGGAATAGTTTGCAGGAGAGAGTGCCAGATGGGTTTATACTCTGTGAGAAGAATAGAGGCTCTGTCGTAACAATGAAATTTGCAGTCCTCTTCTTGCTCTTCTTCCCATTTTTAGCTCCATGAGATCGGAGTGGGGGAAGCCCGTGCTGTGCTCTGATGTTGGACCATGATGGGATGTGATGGAGAGATCTCCAGCAGGGTTTTCCTCTTATGGCTCCTCCAGCCAGATGGCTTCAATCTACTGACCAATTCTCTGTGCTTTGTGTGAGGTCTGCATGCAATTTAAATGGAGCCTGTTCTCAGCTAGTTTTGCCTTTTCTTTGCTCCCCCTCCCCCACATGTACATATATTCCCAACTGACCCTTTTCATGTTTCCCCTTTTTTCTAGCCATTCAGGGAAAGTATGCTGGCACCATATAACAAATATATCCACTGGATTCACCTCAAACTCCTCCAATTCTGGAGGCATGCAGTCATCTAACTCCTTCAGTATTTCTGAGAAGAGCGCTCACTTAGGCGACCCTGATGTTGATGTGGCTCTTTCTGATGATGCAGCTTTCTAGCTGGTTAGAAGTTTAGGATGTGGCACTTCTTGCACACACCTATGTTTGCTACCACCCTGAGTCCTGGCAGATTTGTCTAATCAGCAGGGAACAGCTATCTGAATCTTGATTTATCTTCGTGTTTTGCAAATCTGGAAAGTATGTTTTTGCCCTCTAGGTTGTTGTTTTTTTTTT